CCCCCCCCCCCCCCCCCCCCCCCCCCCCCCCCCCCCCCCCCCCCGCCGCTTCCCCTCCTTCCCCTTTTGGAAAGATTTTTCTTTTTCCTCCTTTGCAGCCCCTTCGCACCTGAAGGAGGCTCAGTTTGGGATAAAAGCAGTGGATGAATATATAGGTCAGCTGAATATATAGGTCCCAGAGATGAGACCGAGGTGGTAAAACTTCAAGCAAGTCTCTTCGTATAGTAGAAAGATAGATAGGCAGGCGGCTAGTGGGTGGGTGCGTAGATGGATGAATGAAACCCAGGGCTCAAAAGTTAATTTAAACTAAGATGTCACATATAAATCTTTGAAGAAGCAGCGGTAGCAGAAAGCATGTCTGCAGCGAAGGGCCCCAGCACCGCCGCCAGGAGGGCGGGCAGCGGCTGGGGGCGGGCAGGGGCAGGGAGAGCCCGCGGGCACAGTAACGCACTTTCCGCTTTGCTTCCGCACCACCGATGGCAGCAGCAGTCGGTGCGGGGCCCCCACCGCGCCTCCTGCCTCCGCGGGGAGCGGAAGCGCCGCGGGATGCTCGCTCTCCCCAGCGGGATCCCTCTCCACCTGCTGGTTTAAGATGCAACTTTGAGGCGGGCTCAGCGCGATGTTTCCGCGGGCAGAGGGGGCCAGGGATGTCGGTCCCTGCGCCGGTGCGGATTTATGGCCGTGTCACCAACCAAGCCCTGCCCGGGAGCTCGCCGTGGCTGGTCGTCCAGAGGCAGCTGTGCATGCAAAATCTGCTTCCCAAATTGGAGTCATAGCCCCTCTGGGAAAGCAGGAGTCCTCCTTTGAACTGCATTTTAACTCCTTCAGCCTGTTTACCGAAGTATACCAAAGCATCTCTAATTCTGTGGGGAAGCGTGGTTAAAAACCTCCCTTTTTTTTTTTTTTTTTTTTTTTTTAATATAAAATTAAAATTTATCGGGAAGTCGAGGGTGGGGGGAATTAAAAAAATATGTTGTAAGACGTTAATCACTCTAAAGACTGAAGTACTTAAAAGGCTTTATGTAAAAATTAATTTAATATTTTCTTAAAAAGACATTCGGCCCTGGTACGTTGAAGACAAATTGTAACTTCCCACTGATTTTCATAAGTGAGTCATAAAAGTCTCTAGAATGCCTCCTTGGGTAGAAATGCCAACCATCCCTCCTGCTTGCACGGGCACTAGCACGGGGCGCGTCTCGGTGCGGGGACAAACCACCCCAATCCCGGGTCCAGCAGCGGGAGCAGACATCAGCTCGGGCTGCAAACACCGGGGTGCAGAGAAGGACCGAGGAGGTTTTTCATCCCTTGCCCGGGTAGAAGAAAGCAATTAAACATTGTGAGCCAGAGCTAGAAGATGTAAAAGTTGTGGGTGTGGCGTTTTTGGTTTTGTTTTAGTTAGTTAGTTAGTTTGTTTGTTTTACTCTATTTTAAAAAAGGTGTTCCTTGACAAGAGGACAACATGTTAACATGTATACATCATCTTACGAGCTGCGCGGAAAGAAGACGAGGCGCCGATATACATAACTTAGCCCTTGATTATGGTCATTATGTAAACGGAATTACTAACAAAAGTTTGTTTGGTAACTAATTATAGCTCACTAAATCTCTGCCGCTTTTCACTTCAGCATAATGTATACAAACTTTTGTACACGCGGATCAGAATAAAACAAAGTGTTGACAGCATCCAGCAGTGGAAATTCACTTACACAAGACTTTTTTTTTCACTGAAGTGTTGACAATAAACATTTAATGAAGGCAGAGACTTGGATGTCTCCAGACAGTGTCAGAATACTTTAAACAGACCATTAGCATGGCTTCTTCTACTTCAAACAGAGCACACTATACCATAACATTATAAAAATACAAAGTATGAAACAAATAATCTGTTTATACAGATATTTTAAGCTGTTTTCACCAGCTCTGACATCCCCTGTATTTAGTATCAGAAACTTACTCATTTCAGATTACTCGCGCTTAAAAAATGTTAAATACAGTTAATGCAATATTAATCGCCCTTTGGTGATATAAAATGCAATATTTTCAGGCAGCTATTGAGCTTTTCTAGAGGAAGAGCTGATGAAAACAGTCACAGCTGAATAGTGGAGAGAAAAAAGCTCTGTATTTATTGCTTTTGTTTGGCTTTTGGCTACAGAGACAGGAACATTCTAATGGGGTAAGGACATTTATTTTATCTGCAATCTATTGCTGCTAGAGCAGGAGTGGCAGATGGGGTTTGGTGTTATATTCACAGAGTAATTTAGAGCAAATCCTAATAACTAATAATGATTTATGTTAATTTCAATCACTTATGTGACTTTATTAAAGCACTGCTGTAAGAGGAATAGAAAGGGAGGGGGTGAGAGGAGAAACTAGAGAAAGACAAGCTGTGTCTGTCTGAAACCGAACCGCATGCTTGAAAGGTTGCTGTGGTGGGCTGCAGTGAAATTTTTGACGCGAGAAAGCAGGTTTTGCTTATGAGATTCTATCGTCGGCGCTAATTTCTTAAAAGAAAAGCCCCGTGTAGAAACCCCGTCCACCGACGAAAGGCAAAGCAAAATAGAGAGGGAGGAAGAGAAGAAGAGAGTGTGAGAGAGAGACTCGTGTTATGCAAAATGTATTGATTGTGTGTGAGGAATCTACGGTGCTGATGTTCTGGGCTCCCGAAAGAATAGAGGAGATTCCTGGCAGAATAGCTAGGAAAACCCCAGATGTACATACATCGTGCGAAACTTTTATTCTGGGTTTTTTTCAGCGTGGTGGAGGTCTACAGTTCTCTACTTACGTTGCATCGGCTTTACTCCTCACCACACATCTCTAGGAGGCTTTTCCCCACGGGGTTTTATAGTCTTATTAGGAAAAAAGAAAAGAATTACAATAAAAAAGTAGCTACAGCAATGAGCCTTCCGTATTTGCCCCTGTAATCTTCAGTTTCATTAGCAACTGATAATACTGAAATGTGCACACACATAAACACAGGAGCACACGTCGTCGTGTGTGCATTGAAAGGAAAGATATTTGCAAAAGCCAGCAAACCTCAAAACAGCTAGCGCTGCTCTGCATAGGATCGGTTTGATGTAGGTGAGAAGAGTACTTACACTATTTTGAAAGGGAGGTGCTCTTTGCTTCTGGCAATTTACTTTCCCAGGTACCTTTATACGTTTTTCTGCCTTAAGGCACACAGTCTGAAAGTAAAACAACATCAAAGCTCCTTATTAACACTATTTTCCTGAAATCAGAAGATGAAGCTACCTGGAACGTTTAATCTGGTGTTAGCATTTATTTCCCAACAAAACAACCAGAAAAAAGTTCCAAAGAGTCGGGGCAGTTATCTTCAGGAAAATAAAAGGCAAAATGCAGGGAGTGATGTATGTTTCTACCAGAATCCTTGAAATGGATTAAATGAACCTTAGGTTTTGCTACATTCTAAAACCACTCTTTTGTTTAATATAATTCCACCCTCCAAATATCAGATCTCTTCCTCACTGCCAGGTGCAATGGATGCGAGTTTCTAAACTTTTGGGTCATTTGCAAAAATGTCTTTTCTGCACTCTAAATGCGACCGAGTTCTACACAAGGCAATTTTTGAGTACTCTGTGGTAAAGGATTTATACATATAGCAATACCTTTTTTCCTGGAATTAAAAAAAAAAAAAAAAATAAAAAAAGGGAGGGAGGTAGATCCCTATATTATGCACAAGGAGTAATGTCGATGTTGCTTTCCACCTCTCCGTTTGAAAGCGGCGCAGGACTTTCAAACCCGCCTGTGCGTGCACGCCTGCTTTTTGAACTCTGTCACGGCGGAGGCGCCGCGGGCGGGCTGCGCGCAGGCGGAGCGGAGCGGCGGCGCTTCAGCACAGCGGAGAGCTCCGGCGGGGCCGCGGCGGGCGGCGCGGTCCAAGGGAAGGCTGTCTGTCTGTCTGGCTCTCTCTCTGTCCGTCTGTGGCTGCACAGAAGCCTGTAATATGTTAATGGCCGTAGGGTATGCCTGAGGTACCATCTCAAGCTGCTTCGCACACCATATGTCAGGCCGTTAGCCACATGGATCTATTAATCAAAGGCAGAGAGAGAGAAGAGGAGAGAGGCGGCGGGGGAAGGGAGCTTTTCATACCCCACTGTATGTTGCTGTACACTTTCTCCTTTCATTTCTCTCAGATATAAAGACCCGGAGTACCTCGAACAGGCAGCTGTAATTCTCTTTTGATCTGCTCTTTTATACCCTCGTGTAACCAGCTCAGGTCAGCCGGTAGCGAGATTTGAGGCAGGAGGGGGAAATGTGTCACGTTTCGCCTGGCAAAGGATTTGGTTTTAAAGTGCTACTCAACTTCTGTGACAAAGCGGATCTCCGTGTGCCCCTTCAGCCTTCTCCTTGCGGAGGGTGTCTCTGAGGGGAAGCCTTTTTCTAGCGAGCCAAACATCATCCCCCCTATAGACAGCCAGAGCTCTGGCCGTCCTCACCACTTTTATCTCCCCTATTACCTATTGCTGCACGTCATTTCTTCAAGGAAGGTTTGTCCCACGTGAGATCCACAAAAGTATTGAATACACAATATTACCGGGAGAAGGGGAAGAAGCAGCCTGTGTAAGAGAGAGGTGTAAAAGTCTTTTGTACATAAATTTTTTATACAGCCCTCAAAATGGGAGCACCTAAACTACTGTGTTTCAGGCAAATAAAGGTGTCTTGATGTATCTAACGTCAAGGCTCAACGCCCAAGAAGAGGCACGGGCTCTCAGGTGTGGTTTCTCAATTTTGTTTGGAGGATAGGGTTTTCGGGGGACTTTCTCTTCAGGGTTAGAATGAACGTGCTCACATGGGCTCCTCCTGAACCTTCTTGGCCAGTCCGTAGGTGACACGTCAGGGGCACTCGGGGGCACAACTCAGACAATCGACATTTCCAACCCAATTCCGAGACCGCTGCTATTTATTTATTTATTTATTTATTTATTTATTTATTTATTTATTTTAATTATTATTTTATCTTTCACAGTGAATGAAGGAGAGTATTAAAGAGACTGACCTTTTGCTCGGGTCACGCCACATAAAGTTTTGAAATACTAGATTACTATAAAATGCTACAGCGGCTCAGGAAAGTTACTGAGAGGTGGAGGAGGGGAGGATGGGTTAACTCCAGTATGCTAGGATTCTGCAGTAGGGGTCGTGGAAGTGGATGGGGCT